AAGCAAGCAATGGAGAGGGAGCTAGCTTCGATCAAGGAGAACGATGTATTCGAGCTCGTCGACCCACCGAAGGGTGCCTACTTGGTGGGATGCAAGTGGGTGTTAAGGAAGAAGTTGGGAGCCGATGGAGGTGTCAAGCGCTACAAGGCGCGGCTTGTGGCACAAGGATACACTCAACGGGAGGGGGAGCACTATAGTGAAACCTTTGCTCCCGTTTCGAAGGCCTCCACTCTTCGGGTGTTGCTTGTACTAGCGGCATCTCTCAACCTCGAGGTGGAACAATTGGACGTTTGCACCGCCTTCCTCTACGGGCTTCTCATGGATGAAGTCTACATGCGGCAACCCCCGGGGTACGATGATGGTAGCGGAAGGGTATGGAAGCTCAAGCGTACCCTCTATGGCTTGAAGCAAAGCCCACGCGGATGGTACAAGCGCATCGACGACTTTCTTCTTCAACACGGCTTCGCGCGTAGCGTGTGTGATAGCGCTTTGTACGTGTTGAAGGAGGGGGAGAAGCAATTGGTGCTCTTGCTCTACGTCGATGACCTCCTTCTTTTCTCCGACTTCAAAGAACTCATTCGAGAGGTCAAGCAACGGCTAGGGGCGGAGTTTGCAATGAGGGACTTGGGACCGGTGACGTACTACCTCGGGATGCACGTCGACCGCGACCGAGCGAACGGGACCATTCACCTCCACCAAGAGAAATATGTGAAGGGGGTTGTGGAGCGCTTCGGCATGGGTAATAGCAACCCGGTGGGGACACCACTAGACACGGGATTTTCTTGCCTCCCGGGAGAGGAAGAATCCGCCCTCGACGAAGCCGAAGGGAAGCGGTTTCATTCGCTAGTCGGCTCACTCATGTATGCCGCCGTTTCTACCCGTCCCGACCTCTCATACGCCGCCGGGGTACTTGGACGAGCCGTAAGCAACCCTCATACCGAGCACGTGCGTGCGGGAGGACGTGTTCTACGCTACCTCCAAGGCACACCCAACTTGGGGCTCGTGTATGAAGCCGGTCCAATCATACTCAAGGGCTACACCGACTCGGATTATGCCGGAGATCAAAGCAAGCGCAAGAGTACCGGAGGGTACGTCTTCACCTTGCTTGGGGGAGCCGTCAGTTGGCAAAGCAAGTTGCAACCAACCGTGGCTCTAAGCTCAACGGAAGCGGAATACATGGCACTCACTCAAGGAGCCATGGAGGCAATATGGTTACGGCGCCTTCTAGCGGAGCTTGGGCATCCTCAAGCCGACCCAACTCCTCTCTTTTGTAACAACCAAGCGGCTATAAACCTCACTCACAACGCCGTCCTTCACGGGCGAACCAAGCACATTGAGGTGAAGCATCACTTCATTCGTGAGGTGGTAGAGAGAGGTGAGGTCAAAGTCACATACATAAGCACCAAGGCGCAACCCGCGGATTTCCTCACTAAAACACTCCCTAAGGATTCATTCCGTGCATGCCATGAGCGTGTTGGTATGAACACCTAGTGGCTTGGGTGCAAGGGGGAGTGTTGGAGGGAAACGGTGGTGGGGCGGTGGTATGCCCCCAACCCACCGAGGGCACTTCGGTGCCCTCGATCCCTTTGACTAGGGATCGGTGGGGAGGCACCGTTTGACTTCGGAAGACTCATAGTTTGGTGCCACGTGGCGGCACCACATTCCAACCTTCAAGTGCAAGGCGCGTTCGGTGTGTTCGGTGAAATTCGGTGGCCGAATTTCACCCCAACCGAATTGTTACACGCGGCGCATTCGCGACGCGAGTGTAGCGATGCGATGTTACATGTGCGGTTCGATGTAATGCATTTGCTATAAATCGACTTGCCTTGTATGCATGCTTCATATTGAAATCCTGAATCATCTTGTACATGGTCCATTCGAACCAAAATTCCAGAGAGGTCTATCCTTGCTTCTAAGAGCACTAGTAATCACGTGAACGCCAATATCTCGGCGTATACTTGGGCGATTAATGTGTTTGACGGCTCGTTGGAAAGCCAAGACTGTGCTCTATCGTTTAGTACAACTTAGAGTTCCTGCAAAGTAGAGGAGACGCCTCTACAACACCGAGGTTCTTGCAGAGAAGTTATTGCAGTGGAGATCTTGACAGGGAGTTTCCGCGGGCGAAGCTTCATTAAAGGGAGTTTCTCGCGATGTAGTTCTCGCCGCGAAGAACAGGGCGTAGTACAAGGTTCCGGCCAAGACTTGCAAGCAGCTCTCTAGACTCTCTACCCACCCACCCCACCCACGACTACGCTAACTCTACACGCACCTACACGAACCTACGCGGACTCTAAGACGCGCTGCTGCTTGCCTCGGCCATTCCCTTGTACTAGCTTGGGTGGCTTCATGTAAGCTTAAAGACTGCTCCGAAGAGCTTGTCGCATGAAAACCACAGGTAGCTCATTGGGACGGAGCTCCTCTGAAATTCCTTCCGACGAAATAATTGGGAAGGTTGAATTTCGAGAATGAAGTTGACGATAGGAACTTGTAGTGCCTCTGATGGTTGAAAGGGACGATCGAACAAGGTCGCCTTGTCGATCGTTGGGAGGACGAGTGTGTCGATGGAAACGACCATCAATGTCGGAAACTTCTCGGTGCGGTGCGGGCTGCGCAAGCGGCGCGGCGCGTCTCAAAATGGTTGCGGTGTGGCGATGTAGGTTCGGAAAGTATGTATGGTCGATGTTGATGATCGCCGCTCTAACTCAAGGTGCCGTTGGCGGTGCGGTGCAACGCGGGACGGGGCGCGACTAGTGTGCGGATTATGCTAAACGGATGGTGACGATGATAGCCACCACCGATGAATGGTGAAGATTCATCACCATAGAGATGTAATGTGATGTGATGGCCGCCGCCACCATACAAATTCCCCGCCTAGGAAATGTCAGAACGTTCTCTAGGGGACTTTCAAGGCGACCCGAAAGTGTGCATGTGGACTCATCCCAAAGCTTTTGGTGTATTTTGGTCTATGATGGCCGCTGTTAGTTGCTGAGTGCGGTGCGTTGCGATCAAGCGCGGAGCCACTGGTGCCGTTTCAATAGCAAGGTAGTTAGCGAAATACTGAACGGATGGCGGAGATCATTGCAGCGACGGATGAATAGTGATAATTTGGTGGAGCCTTGTGAAGGAGGGTGTGGTGTGGCATGGTGGCTGGCGCCGCCAAAAGAGAACTTCCGCCTAGAATTTGTCAGAGTGTTCCCGATGGATTCAAATTTCGGCCCAAATGTGTCCATGTCAACTCATCCCAACGCGTCCCGACATCGTGAACCATTTTCACATGTACACTTCAGAGGGTGTTTGGTAAAGTAATGTGATTTAGTTTGAGTTTAGCTACAAGCGGATCTGCTGAGGGTGCGTATCATTATGTTCTGGTTTGACGGACACTCTGATATTGGGTACGAAAGGTTGGAGCTGGGGCAAGAAACGAACTTTTTAGGAGGTGGTTGACGTGGCACGTGTATTTTACAGTTTATAGACCGACTATGAGTATTAGCGAAAATTTGTGCGTGAATTGCGGGATTGCGTTGAAAATTACTATATTTGTGAACGGAAGGTTCAGGTGCTCTCGCGGTTCATTTTGTTCCTTGCGAACCTGATCGGGGCAGCTGAAAATGACAAGTGGTGATTGAGAAAAGATCATGCGAGCCAATAGAAGGGGGGGGTGTTTTTCTCGCCCTCATCCGCCACCAGGCCTGTCGTTTCGTTTTGGCCCCCCCAGACAAATCAGGGGGCCCGGCATGTATGACCCTGTATTTAGCAGGGTTGGGGAGAATCTCGGCCCTTCAGGCTTCAGGGCTGGAAAATTTTCCTCCCTTGAATCAGGTTTGGCGCGGAAAATTCTGGAGCCTCATTTCAACTACCAAGCTTACAACTATGTTTGAGATGAACCACAAGCAAATACGACATAAAGAGAATTAGTTAACGTCATATCACCACTCACGCTTTGCAGGCTTCCTAGCTTTTGCAGAACCGATGATCTTGTGCACTTCTACCCACTCCACAGGATAGTTCTTGTGCACTTCTACCCAACCTTAACCGTCTACCCACTCCACAGAGAGCGAGCTGTGATTAATTCAAGCACAAGTTCTAGGTTGAGTTGAATTTGTGGCCCAACCACGCAACTCAAAATTTGCCAGGTTGAATGCAATCAGGTTAGAAACGAAGGGGAGAGGAGAGGGAGGAGTGTTGGGGGGGGGGGGGAGGGGAGGGGAAGGGGGAGCTCGAAAGATTTTGTTACAGGGCTCGCCTAAAATCTACCCCTAACATACCAGGCCTTAGCCCAAAATCAGCCCTGAAGAAGAATCAGGGCCAGAATATTTCCAACCCATCAATTTCAGTTTTCAAGGGCAACCCAGCCCTGGAATTCAAGGTCCAGCAGGGCAAACGCCCTGCAAGCGACAGCCCTGTCCGTCACCCTCCAGCTCATTCCCCCTCCAGCTCATCGCCGAGGCTGAGAAGATCGATTACTGTACAGCATTCTTGGTTTTCATTTCGCGGATTAGCTCGAGTCCCTCGACGACTCTCCTTGCCATAGACTCTATCTATCAGTCGTGCTATCGGTTCAATGTTTGCCGCTTCCCACGCCTAGAAGCTGCACGTGTCTGTTCAAGTGAAATAAGCAGCCAGTAGTCGATTTAACGATTTTTCGGTTACGAACCGCGGTAGCATCGACTTGCGGACGAATTAATAGTGTCGATTTGCGGACACTTATCATGCGGTTGCTTGATCAGCGTCGACTTGAGAGCGTGTCGGAATTGCGGCCTTCAGTCGATCTCGTTAGGCAGGCGAAGCGCAGGCGCTCTAACTTGAACCGTTGCGCAAGGCATTAGAAACGAGGAACTCAATATGGAGGGGAAACGCGAGAGGGAGTGAGGAACGGGATGAACCCAAGATGGAATGGAGGCAATAGACTGGCAAGAGGCGGCGAGGCAGGGCGGATAAGGGAGAAGAGAGTTCCGCGAGCTTGCTACACACTCTCGCGAACCTCGGCTTTTGGCGAGCACATGCTCTCGCGTAACGGAGAACGTTACATCGAAACTCCATGCCGTGAAACCCCTCCCTTTCCCCCCTCCTCATCTTCCCTCGCACATCTCTCCTCCCTCTCTCCTCATCCCCCCCGCGCTCCCCTTGTTCCCCCCCCTCCCTCTCCTCGCCCCCCCCCCCCCCTCTCACCACATCTCCCCCGCTCTCCCCTCATCTCCCCCTGCTCTCCCCTCATCTCCCCCGCTCTCTCCTCATCTCCCCCGCTCTCCCCCCATCTCCCTCTCTCTTCCCCCATTCGCCCCCAAAAAGCATCCGTCACCCCCCCTCCCACCCCCCGGTCTCACCCTCATCCCCCCACGTCTCACCCTCATCCCCATCCGGTCTCCCCTAATCTTCCCGCTCTCCCCTCGTTTCCGCCCGCTACCACCTCTCCCCCCCCCCTCCCCTCCCCCTCCTCCCCTCCCCGGCTCTACCGCCATCTCCCCCGGCTCTCCCCTCATATTCCCTTTGCCTTCCCTCATCCCCCCCGCTCTCCCCTCGTCTCCCTTCCCACTCACCCTTCAGCTCTTCTCCTGTTTACCCCTCATACCCCCTCCGATCCCTTCCTCCTACCCCCTTCCCTTATCTCCCCTACCCACTCACCCCTCATCTCCCCCCTTCCCCTCCTTCGGCATAAGCTTGAAGCGGCATGAGCCAACCTTCTTGGAGTTACCAAGGTGCAACCTGGGTAACCCCTTCCCCCTCTGCACTCCCCCTCCCTTGTTTCCCCTAATTCACTCCTCACTTCCCCCCCCTCCTCTTCTTTGGCTTGAGCTTGAAGCGGCATGGGACAACCTTCTTGGAGTTACCAAGGTGCACCCTTGGGACCCCTTTCCTCTCTGCACTCCCCCTTCCGTCTCCCATGCCTTCCACCCCTCATCTCCCCCCTTCCCCTCCTTTGGCATGAGCTTGAAGCGGTGTGTGACAGACAGCCTTCTTAGAGCGATTTCTGAGGATTCTCCAATACCGAGGCCCACCTCTTTGGGGCCCCATTTCCCCCTCTGCCCTTTTTTCCCCCCTCCCTCCCCCTCTTCTTCCTTTCTTTCCCGCCTATCATGGCTGCGCGTGTGAACTCACATGGCTTTTGAGGCTCCTCAAAAGTCGCATGTCATGGCTGCGCGTGTGAACGTACATGGCAAGGATTGATAGCATACACATGTACCCCGGCTTGTTTCTGGCTGTAAATATGGCATGGACTGGAAATGTACCATGTAATGCATGAGCTTCAAGAGTATACCGTATGAGCAAGTGCATCTGTAATTATTACAGTTTGGGCAAGGAGGTACTTATTTTGTATAATGATCGCTGCTGGTAGGAAAGTGTACTTGTCCTGTATGATTATCATTGAGTGGATCAAGTACCTGAACATAACAGGCCCGTTTGCCTGATTCAAATAGGCCTTTCAGTTGGAATCTGGCTGGATGAGCATTTGATCTTATTGGAAAAGAGGAGTACCATTCATGAGTCTCATGAATTCAATCACACCTTTCACCGGCCTCCCCCCCCCCCCCCCCCCCCCCCCCCCCTCCTGAACTCCTCCCATTCTATGCACAATCCGCCCTTGCTGGGCACCGCCGCGCCTGGAGAACTCGACAGTAGCTTTTATCATTTGTTCCTCAGACTGAACAATCCTGAGTCACTTCACTGGAAAAAGGTGGAATCTGGATCGCCATCGATCTTGTCAGGGTAAGCATACATCCACCTCGTAAACTCCATGGTAGCTTTCATCTGATCCATCACGCTCCTCTTCTTAAACTCCATCCCCTCCTCCCCATACCCAATCAGCCCGGTCGCATGCCGATGCACCTTCACGCAACGCCTTATCCGCCGAGCCTCAAACTCCCGAACCGCAGCCACAGCAGCAGGCTTGGTAAACAGGTCCGGATCCCCCGAATCACCCAAGCACAGGGACAACTGGTGAGCATCTTCAAACCCTGTCAGTGCCCCCTGCCCTGGCCCAGGATCCATGGCATGAGCCGCATCCGCATACAGGGTCGCTCCAGGAATCAACCGGCGGCGGGCGATCCAGCTGGCGACGTTCGAAGATGAGATTCTCTGGCGTGGAGGAAGCTTCTTGGAAGGCTCGTTGCCAGAGCGGGTGGTGGGGGAGGTTGGTTTGGATGAGAGGGAGCAGGCGGGCTTTAATGTTGTGCTTGCTGCCGAAGCCTGCAAAGGGGGTGTCTTGGAGTGTGGGGTCCATTTCATAATCCATGTATCGCACCTGAAGAAAGGGAAAAGAACAGGGGAGGCGTTTCAGGCGTAGGATGTCGTATGAGACCTGCAAAGGGAGGTCCAGTTCATAATCCACGTACCGCACCTGAAGGAAGGGGAGAGAAAAGAACGGAAAGGTTGGAGAGGAGGGGGTTGAGTGCGAGGAGGCGGGCTATAATGCCCCGCCTGCTGCCACAACCGTACCTACCACAACTGTACCTGCCACAACCGTACATGCCACAGCCATACCTGGCACTCCGTACCCTGTCACTACTGTAGCTGCCAGTACCATACATGCCAGTCCGTACTTGTCATCACCGTACCTGCCAGTACCATACCTCCCAGTTCCCATACCTGCCCATACCTGCCAGAATCTCTCGCCGTTCTTCAGGGTGATAAAGATTGCACTCCATCCCGTCACCTCGTCAATCAGGGCTGTCAATTCCGGAACAACAGCCTCTCTTGATGCACTAACAGCCGTGGATGATGATTCTCCTGAGCTTCTGACGTCAGCTGGGCTGCTGGCATCAGCTGCAGTGCTGACGTCAGCCGGACTTCTGACATCAACTGGGGTCCTGCTGACATCAGCTGGAGTGCTACTCAGGAACGAATTCCATGCAATCTGGTTGAGAAACCGCGGCAAGTCGCCAATCATTTGATCCCTCACAGCTGATCGAACCCCATCAGCCCCCACCAGCACCTTCGCCCTCACAACCACTATTTGCGTCTCGCCAGGATTCGAACCTGCGACCTCACAGATCACATCTACCGCCTCCACCTCACTTCCTTCCCCTGCTTCACTCCCCTCCCCCGGTTCTCCCGCTCCCCTCACCCCCCCTGCTCCCCCCGCTCTTCCCCCACCCCCTGCTTCCCGTGCCCCCCCCGTCCCCCCCACTTCGTCCGCTTCCCCCTCCCCGCCTCCCCTGCGCTTTAACACAGGGCGGTAGCCCACCACGCGATGCCCACAATGCACCAAATCAGGCCTAGGGAGTGCCGACGCGAGTGCCTCTTGGATGCGCCGCCAGGGCACCATGTTCAGCCCGGCTTCTTCCGTCTCCGCCACCATCCAATCAGAACTTGGTGTAGCTCCGTCGCCCCCAACCGCACTTCCGCCACCTGCCCTTGCGCCACTGGCGCCACCCGCACATCGCGTTCCGCGCACCCGCTTTCCCTCGGCCCGCCTTCCGCTCCGCCTGGCGGCGACGGCGGCGGCGGCGGCGGCTTGCGCCGGTTGTAGAGGCTGCGTCGATTGACCAGCGTGCCGTGTCGCGCCATCGCGGCGCTCAATCCGGGCAGGATTCCGTCGAGGGCGGCGGCGCCGTTCGGCCAGATGACGAGGACGGTGCTGTTGTTCGATCGCAGCGCGGGCGCTGCCTCGAAAACGGCCGCCTCGACGCCGCGCGACTGCAGGCCGGCGGCGAGCGCGAGCCCTGCGAGTCCGCCGCCCGCAATCGCCACGTCCACGTGGAATGAGGGCGGGGGAAGCTCCGCCGCAGCGGTCGGGTTTGGCGCCGCGTTTTGCGCCGTGCTCGACGCGTTTCTGGCTGCTTGCGGATTGGAGGAACTTCCCCGCGGCTGCGTGAGCCTACTGTCGACGGCCATGTCTTCTTGCCTATCATGAGTGATTCTGAAGGCATAGTGGCGAAGTCGCATCGTCATGCGACGACATTGAACCGTCGTTCCGAGTCGCAGGGTCCGAGTCGCGCATGTCGCCGTGGCGACACGAAGAGCAGAGAGTCCGACAGCAGGCGAGGCGGAAATGGCTGCCATGGCTTTGATGGTTTGATTCGTGGGAGGTTTGGACAGGAGTATCAAAAGCTTGCAAGAGAAGAACTCCCATTTCCCTTTCGGAGGGATGGAGAGAAAGAGCAACGGCGTGCATGCATTTTCAGCGGATTTAGACTAAGGTGAGCCGGCGAGGAGAAATCTTGGGAAGAACGAATTCCGCCAAGGGAGAAGAGTGGAGGAGGTTAAGGTTAAGGTTATATAAGGTCGTAACCATGTACAGCAAAGCATAGAGTAGCTAGAAATATGGTCTACACAAACCAACAGCCCAGAGGCGTACGTAGGAAAACACGTTATTCCCCTATCCAATGGATAGCCACCAGCTCAGCTGGGGAGCTCTTCTATGCTCAGCAAAGGGTGGGAGGGCTAGGGGGGGCGGAAGGGGTCCCCAAGCAGCCAGGAAGAGCGGAGGTCTGGGTGGATAGAAGGGGTTCCGTTGTGGTCGAAGACGAGGAAGCGAAGTCGAGTGGCCAGCTTAATACGAGCGGCTGAGCGTTGTTGTTTTTTCACTGATTGTTTCTTCCTGCGCCATAAGAAAATTTTAAAAGCAATGAGGAACTTAGCCAGTATGAGCTGGAGGATTTCAAACCGGGAGGAGGGCGAATCTTGGAACTTGTGTTCACAGCGCGCGTTCCAAATAGCTTTTGTAGATGCCCCAACCAGAAGGCTCCAGGGGGCCACCTGGCCGGCTCTGGAGGCGAGCGGGAAGAGCAGGAGCTCAGGAGGAGGAGAGCAGTGGAGGTGGCGACGAGCGACGGAGGAGAGGGCGGAGATCACTGCGGGGGCCACCCCGCACTCGTAAAAAATGTGGGATATGGTCTCTGTGGGAGCGGCAAGGCAGAGTGAACAAATCCCACGGTCTGCGGCGAAGTTGAAGCGTGAACCGGAAGGAAGAGCGCGAGTGTAGAACCGGTACAAGACGTCGCGTTGGAGGCTGGGTTGCTCCCGTAAAAAGGCATGGGAGAGGTCAGGGAGGAGGGGAGGAGGAGCGGGGAGGACGTGGATCCAGCGGGCGGCGTGGTCGAGGGGAAGTTGAGCGTAGAGCCGGCGACGAATGTCAGCTACGCTTGGGTAGCCGTCCCGAAGGATGTCGAGCCGCGCGCCGAGCCCTGCACCTGTATGGAAGGGGCCTGCAAGCCAGGACCCAACAACGTGTACCGCAGAGAGGGCACCTATTTGGAAGGTGCCATCTCCGATCGACGGTCGGACGATGAATCGGTTGGGCAGGACATGGTAAAGGGAGACTGAGAGTGACGACGGGGGGGAGAAGGCCGTGACCTGGAAAGCAATAGTGGGAGAGGTCTCGGAGTCATCTTTAGGGACGAACCACTCCCCAGGGACTGCCGAGGGGGGAGGGGGGGAGCGAAGGGCTGACCACTAAGGTTTGGGGATGGCACGGATGCGTTCGCGCCAGACTCTTCGTCCAGAGGAGGAGTTGGCTATGGGAAACAGTGAGGTGAAGTGTTTGAAGGAGACCACACCAAACGAGTGGAAGATAAGAGAGATCAAATGGCCGACACGGACCTGCTTAGATAGGAGGAAGTGTTCACGCGTGAGAATTCCGAAGGGCTTCCCGTTTGGTTTGAGAATGAAACGATTGAAGGCGGTAGGCTCGCCCATTATACACATAGGGACAAGGCGAGGTGGAGCAATGTTCGGAGTGATCTCTATTAATGCGTGTAGTTCAGCGAGTGCTCGACCTGGGATTATCGTTGGCAGAATGCCTGCTTGAAGGATGGCAGGGTGCGCGAAGAGACAGTGTGTGCCAAATGGGAGGCAGACGGCGGCTCTGGCTACCTCTTCTGATGGTGAGGCGCCGAGGCGACGGAGCGCGCGATGAGCAGCTAGAGCACGGATTTGGGTGGAGGGGGCAATCGCTCCAAGGCCTCCGTGGCGGGTGGAGTTATACAGGAGCCGATTAGGGATGAGACGGATCGCGAGGCCGTGCTCCTTGAAGCGCGAAGAGGATAGAAAGTTCCCGACCAAGACGTCTAAGCGTTTGATAACGTCGGGGGAGGGGGTTTGAAAGCGGCCGGGGAAGGAGATGATAGAGTTTAAGAAGACTGACGCAAGTGACTTGCGGCAGGTGGCTGTGGCACGAAGGGCGGCGAGGAACTTAGCCGTGCGTTGAACGCGAGAGAGAGTCGTGGACCAGGTAGTGGCGCCTGGTTGTGCACGTTCAACGTAGATGCCAAGAATGCGTTCTGCCTCTTGAGGAGTGCGAATGGGAATGGGGCTAGCCAGAAGGATTTGTTCCGGGGAGATGTGAAAAGGAATTATTGAGCATTTGTTCCAGTTGGGGTGTTCTCCTGAGACTGCGGCAAAGGTCCGGAGGTGTATGAGTGTGGTCCCAAGCTCTCTAGCAGAGGAGAGGAAGATGGTGACGTCGTCAGCGTAGCAGGCCATGAGACGGCGCTGCGTCGTAGAGAGGGGGAAACCCGGGAGGAAGAGCGATAGGTAGCGCTGTAGGATTTCAATGACACACACAAAGAGGAGGGGGGCGAGGGGGCATCCTTGTCGGACCCCGGTTCGGACTGGGAAGGTGGGTCCAGCGAGGTTGTTAACAGAGATGCAGGTGGAGGTGCTAGTGTGCATGAGGCGAACCCAGGCGATGAACTGCTCGGGGAGTCCCACCCTGGCAAGCGCTTGGAAGAGGAAAGCTCGATCGACCAGGTCATAGGCCTTGCGGAAGTCAACCGTTAAGGCGAGAAGTGGGGTTTTCGTGATTGTGCTCCAGTCGAAAATGTCGAGTGTATCGTTGATCGTATCGCCAATTTTCCTGCTTTTAATGAAAGCGGTTTGGGAGGGGTGGATAATCAGGGGAAGAGCGAGTTGCAGCCGATTGGCAAGGCATAAGGCTAGCACCTTGTAGTCCGAGTTCATGAGGGTGATAGGGCGGAGGTTGTCGATCATAGAGGAGCTACCCCTCTTGGGAATGAGGACTGTGCGGCCTGACAGCATTGACGGCAGGAGGGTAGCGGAGATGTGCGGTGAGGAGAAGAGTGAGAGAAATGCGGGGGCGAAGCGGGTCTTGTATTGTCGGAAGAGCTCGCCCGGGATGCCGTCAGGGCCGGGGGTTTTGCCACGGGAGAGCTGGTTTAAGGCCTTGCTAATTTCCATTAGGGAAAAGGGAGCTTGCAGATGGTTGAGGAGTCTGGGGGGGAGTGAAGAGGGGGGGATATGAGCCCAGAAGGCAGGATTTGGCACGTCCGAGGTTGCCCCGCTGTAGAGAGACAGGAAGAATTTGGTGCATTCAGCGGTCATGGCTCGTAGATCTGAGATGGTTTGTCCATCTGGTAGTATAAGCGAGGGGATTAATGAGTCTTTGATGCGGGAGTTGAGTCCTGCCAGCAAGGAGGAGGTTCCCATCTCCCTATGGCCCTCGACTTTGAGCTTTGCTTTTAGAGCGAGCTCGGCGGTTTTGGATGCCTCGTATTTTGTTAGTTGAGTGCGGGCTTTGAGGAGCTGTGTGGTCGCATCATGGTCAAGAGGGGAGAGGGCAGATTGGAGCTGAAGGTGGCTAATGAGTTGTACTAGGTGGTTTGTAGTGCTTGTAACCCTTTTGCGCTCTTCGTTCGAGAAACTTTTGAGGCTAAGCGTGAGGGCCAGTTTCCAGGCGTCCCATGCATCGGAGGAAGGGCGTGATGGCAGGGAGGGGAGGTGAGATTCGATTATGGTAGCGACTTGGGGCCGGTGGAGGAGAGAGGAGCTGAAACGCCAAGGTCGCGGTGCCATGGTTGGGTTGTCGAATGTGAGGGTGCAGAGGGGTGCAAAGGAGTGGTCAGAAACGTCAGTTGGGGTCCAGAGGTAGGAGGTTTCAGAGGCCCGAGGGATGAATGAACTGGAGAGGTAGAGTCGGTCCAGTCTGGAGGCGGGCGGGAGAGCAGTGCCAGCGCTGGCCCGTCGGCCAAAGTAGGAAAAAACGGGGGCGGTAGGGTGGAGTGAGCGGTACACGTCGGACAGTGCGTGCGATAGCAGGAGATTAGACACCATGGTGGCTTCGCTGAGTTCGTGACCAAGTAGCGGGCGGTTACGGTCTGAGGGGGAGATTACCGAGTTGAAGTCACCGGCGAGGATTGTGGCAGCAGCTGCGGTGGGTTGCTCCAGTGCGGGAGTTAGGATGGATCTCCACCAGATCCGGCGGTCAGTGGCAGGTCTCGGCGCATAGATAGCGAGGATGCGAAGTTGCTCCCGCAGGAAGTTGATATGTACGGATAGAAGGCGGCCATCGGCGGAGGGGGAAGGGGAGGTGAGAGATATTGCTCTGTTGAAGGATAAGATAGAGATGCCGCCGGGTTGCGGACATGGATGACCGTTTGAATTCAGTGCGTAGAGGGTGGGTGCGTGTACCGAAGAGTGTGGCCGGAGTTGGAGTGACAGTTTAGGTAGGTTTTTGGAGAGGCGTGTGTCCACTAAAATGAGAATATTTGTGTGCGGTGAGGAGGAGGAGAGCCAACGCTTTAGAGCATTTCGTTTAACCGGCGTATTGATACCATTGATGTTGAGGCAGCGGACTCGTAGGGGAGTTAACATTCTACCAGGTGGGAGCCCACCGCGCAGGAGTGTGCGCGGATCCACGGGCGTGGGTGTTTATACAAAAGGGAAGGAAGTTGGTGGAGGTTGTGGGTAACAGTCGAGCTGTCAACGAGTGCGAACCGAAGTTGGTGGTGGGTATGCTGGCATACTGGTTTGATTCGGACAACACCAGAGGCGCACAAGAAGGTAGGGAGATGTTGGGCGACAGAACCAGGGTGTAGAGGTGCCGCATACAAGTGAAGCTTGAGCAAGTGTGTGTTAAACTTAAGAGTGAGAAGTGAAGGGCTCCAGTTTTGAGTAGTAGCGAAGTTGATAGGTGGCGTGTGATCAATAATGCTTGAATGCGGCAAGGTGAAGCGTGGGATGAGTCTGCCTTTATGAGAGCAGTAAAAGTTGTATTCCTGGGTAGTGACGAGAAGGAGAGTACACCGGGGGTCGGGAGTGCTAGCGTATTCACAGGTGGAGCATGTCAACCATGACGACGTATGAGAACAAGTAGCGAAGTAACGCGGGGCATGCGGACGAGGGTCAGCAGGAACAAACGTGGTGGCAGGCGGACGAGGGGGGCTCTCTGGCGGGACCATCTCGCCTCTTCTGTGTCCGTGCGAGGGTTGATTTCGGTCGGTAGGTGCGTCGACTGAGTGAGAACCTCTGGCGGGAGGGGAGGCCACGATTACAGGGGGAGATTTTAAGGCGGGTGTGAGGAGGTGTTGCGGCCGCTGACGGCGGTCGGGCGTACAAATGGGGGCGTGTGTGATAAACAGGCGTGGATGCTCGCTCTGGTGATTCATGGTGAGAGTGAGCTTGACATGGCTGCGCGTTAGGCGAGTGTCAAGCGGGGTTGGGGTATTGGTATTAGTATTTTGGGGGGTTAGCCGACTGCGAAGGTCGTTCATTGTTGGGGCTTGGTTTGGACTGTTCACGGTAAGGCAACAATTGTGAGGGTGTGTGATCATGGTGGTTGGCTTGAAGCACACGCGTGCGGGGGGACGCAACTCCACCGGGCTGGCCAGGGCCTGAGGTGGCTGGCTTGGCCTGTGCGCGAGGGGTGAAGGTTGGTAGAAGCGTGAGGTGGGTGAGGCAGGTGTGGGGTTGAGTAGTTGTTGGGGTGAGGGTTTAAAAATGGCGTATTTGGTTTTTTGCGTAGATGTGAGAGTTGGAGTGAAGACTAGCAAGGAAAATGATAATACGTAGAGTTTGACAAACATGATTGTGCGCACATGAGTTGCATATCCAAGGTCTAACTGGGTGCCTGCTAAATGACAGAGCCAAGGAACTAGCCACGCATCAAAGCCAAGGTGCGCAGGTCGTAACGCTAAGGGCGACCGCGAAGGAAGGCAGCCACCGGGGCCTTCTGCTGCAGCAGGGTGAGTGCGCGCCAGGGGCCAAATTCTTCCTTGGCAGCCGGGCGGTGAGCGGAGGCCTTCACGCGGTTGACGTGCAGGTCGGACTGGATATGCTCCATGGCGCTGTCGAGGGCAGCGCCGCAGGTGAAGTCGCAGAGAGCGCAGGTCCAATATTCGACCCAATCGCCCAGCCCAATGTAGAGGAGGCCGGGGTCGTTGCCGAAGGCGGTCGGCGCGGCATGATTGCCCAAAGAGTTGCCTGCAAGAGAGGAGGCGGGTGGGGGGAGACAGTGGGGGCAGGGGGGACGAGGGGGTGGACGAGGGGAGGGGAGGGGGAGTCAGGGAGGAGGGGGATGTGGGGGTGAAGGCCAAGAGGGGGGAGACCATGAGGTCTGGTTGGCTGCGGGTGGAGGGAGGTGCAGAGAGGGGTGGGAGGTGCGGGGGAGGGGCAGGGGTGTTCGGGGGCCCAGGCGGGGGGGGGAGAAGGAGCCAGAGGGGGGTGGATCGGCCTGCTCGAGAGCAATGAGGGAGAGGCCGGGGGAAGAGGGCTGTTGGCAGAGGGGGGGAGCCTCGGTGGGGATCGGGCAGCCCGGTTATAGCACAGGGGGCGGTTGCAGATGGGTTCCTGAGTGGGTGGGGGGTGAAGAAAGTGAAGAGGGGGTTGAAAAGAGTGAGGGGGGGGAAGGCGAGATTGAGGGTAGGGGGGGGGAGGAGGGGAATCGGGGGAGAGGAAGTGGGGGGGGGAAGTCGGGGGGTCGGGGGAGCAGAGAGGGGTGCTGGTTGAAAAGGGGGGGATAGGGCAGGGGGAGAGGAGCGTCTCCATGCCAGCATAAGGTTGGGCAGGGGGCCCGCCCTCTGGAGAGATCGTGGGAGGAGTGTCGGGAGGGGGCAGAGAGGGGGGTACCGTAGGAGGGTCCAGTCTGCTAGTGGGAGGGGGGTGCGGGTGGGGGGCGAGCTTGTGGGAGGGCGGGGTACTGTCCTCCGAGGGGGAAGGGGCGGGAGTGTAGTGGGGGGTGGGGTTGACGTGGGTAGGGGCAGGGGGTGGGGGATCATGGGTGAGAAAGAGATTTCGCGATGCGGAGATTGCGTGGGGGGTGTGGGAAGATGGGGGAGTCGTGAGGGTGGGCGGAGGCCCGACTGTAGGGGGGGGAGAGGAGGGTACAGAGGTGACAGGGGCTGAGCGTCCTTGGGCGGGGGCTTGCCTGCATGTGTTGGAAAGAGCAGGGAGGGGGGGGTGGCGTGGGGGGGAAAAGGGGTTGAGTGGGAGCCCCACAACATGGGGGGCCAGGGGGTGGGGGGCTGTAAGGGAGGGGTGGGTGACAGGGGGGAGGACAGGGTGAGGGGGGGCAGTTGGCACAGGGAGAGGAGTGAGAAGGGAGGGAACGAGGGGAGTGGGTAGGGGCAGAATGAAAGTGGGGGTGGCAGGGGCCCGGACGGCCGTGCGGGGGGGGGACAGCAAGGCAGTGGGGGGCGGGGGCTCTTAGGGAGGGAAGGACAGCGGGGGGGGAGCGCGGGTGTTGGATGGGAGCATGAAGGTTGCGCGATAGGGAGGGGGTAGACCGAGGGGGGAGTGGTGAGAGGATGGGGGGCAGCGGAGGAGCACATGAGGAGGCAACGGAGGCAGGCTAAGGGCGTGCAATGACAAAAGGGAGGGAGGATTTTTGCGGTTAAGACAAGAGGGGAAGATTTCGTACCGTTTGCCTGCTGCAGCTGAGCGATTGAGATGGTGTTCTTGTTCGTGAGGCGTCCTCGGCGGCGGGCAGCGAAAGTCTCGTGGTCCGGTGCGCGGTGGTTGTTACCGCACAGCGTGCACACGTGGCAGGAGAAATTGAGCAGCATAGTTGGCTTGTTCTCCTCCAGCAGGAATTCGGACGGGATTCGTTCGAAATTCGGGTCATCGGGGGTGGCGACCGGGAGTCCTGCGAGGTGAGTGAAAAAGGTGTTCTCGTAGGGGTCGGAAGCGCGGTGAAAGTCAGTCAGATCCGCGAGCCAATGCGAACCATCCTCCTCGGTGGACCCGAGGAGGAAGGCGCGGATCTCCTCCGGATCGATCTCCAGGGGGACGTTTCGGATAGACAGGGTAGGAGCGCCGGCTGCCTTTGCCGCGGTAAAAGCTTCATACCGATCAACAAAGACCTTCAACATGACGGGGCGGGAGTTGGAGATTTTCAGCATGAGAGGAAAAAGCTTGCGAAAAACAGACGCGTCTTCCTGCGACGGCCAAGAGAACAGCAGGCGGCCGTATACGTGGCGGGCCACGCGGAGGGAGTCGCCGACAGTGTGCTCGAAGGGGGGGATGATGCCCGAATCGAACATGAAGCCGCACAGCTGCGCGTTGATTCCGGCGAGGATTTCCGTGCGGTGCGACTCCAACACGGCCTCCGGGAGGAGGAGCGTGACTACCACGCGGCGGCGAAGGGGAAGGAGCATCGGGGTGGCTGCGGAGGTGCGCGCACGGCGGAGGTTGCGGGGGGGGTCCGCCGGGCGCGGATGAGGCAAAGAGCGAGGCGGGCAGCGCGGGAGCCGGGTTAGCGCCGGAGGCGGCCGTTGCGTAGGCAGCAGCGCGGAGAACCGGGGCGTTGGGGGCGGCAGCTGTTGCTGCCAGAGAGGGCGCATGGCCTTGCTGAGTCAACGTGGGAGCAGCAGCGGCAGCGAGGAGCACAGGAGATGGCGCGGGCTGCGCCAGCGCCGAGTCGGAGGAGGTGGAGGGGGAGTTGAAGCTAGCAGGGCCAGCACCGGGGTCCATGCAGGGCTTCTTCGCAGCAGGGTGGTCAGGGGAGCTCGCGAGGTCATCGAGTAGTCCTTCGGGAAGGTCGTCGACCAAGAGATCGTCGCCGGATTCAGCGATATTTTCCTCTTCAGCGGCGGACATCGTGAGATCGGGGTTGAAAACCTGCTCAGCCATACAGAAGAATGTGTAAAGGAGTCGTAGGGGACTGGGAGGAGAGAAGTGAGTGATTGACGAAGGCTGAGGTGGGTTAAATATGGCGGGAGCGAGGGAGCGCCCGCGGGGGAGCGTCAGGACGGAGGGGAGGCAGAGGAGCGGCGGAGGCGGACGGGCGTGAGGCCGTGGAGGCGAGGCTCTGATGGCGGCTCGTTGGGAAGGGTTGGGAGGAGGGCGGACGGGAAGGGGAGTGTCGGGAAACGCATGGGCAGCGCGTAGGCAACGGGAAACGTGGCGACGTGGCGAGTAAATTGAGGGCCAGAGGCGGGAGTGGGCGCCTAGTTGGCAGCCCGAAACCCGGGACCGTACGAGGGTCCGAGCGCTCGCGCGCGAGAAACGAAACTGGCAGCCTAGGCGGCGCGCCAAGTTTCTGAGCCATGTAGTGGGCTCTGCCGGAGGCGGCAATTGAGTGGAAAGCGGGGCAAAGGCAGCAAAATTGCCAGAAGGGACGGGAGATCCGGGAGTGTTGGCGCTTGGGAAGGCACGGAAGTACAGAGGCAAGAGGAGATAGCACGTAGGCGAAAAAGGCGGGACGAAGGCAGGGGTGAAGGCGACCAGAAAAACGGGAGGAGATGGGGGGTTAGCTGTATTCGGCGATTGCAGTTTGTCGAGGAAGTCCTTGGAGTTCGATGCAGAACGGGACAGCTTGGCAGGAGGAGGCCGATCTGTTGGTGAGGGTTAGGAAACAACGCAACCGAGCTTCCTGGGAGGGGACGGGGCTGAGGCGAGGGAGTGGCGTGAGATTGGGTGAGTGCGCACAAAAAAAGGGAGGGAAGTTGGGGTTAGCTGGCGCTGAGGTTGGAGCAGAAATTTGCAGTGAGCGCGAGATGCCACGGGGGAAAAAGAGAAAAGGAGGGTTGCACTTACCTGGAACGAAGGTTGACGTGGCGCGTTGAGGCTGGGAGGGAGTCCGCCAGGGATCCGTTGGGGGAGGGAGTGGCCAATTGGAGTCAAAAAAAAGGAGGGGGCGGGGAGTGGGGGGCTATCCTGCTGGTGTAGAGCCGGGGTGGGGAGTAGCCACGTGAAAACGAGAGCTGTAGAAAAGAAAAAGAAAAGGAAAAACGATAGCATAAACTTACCTGGAAACGAAGCTGAGTCGTATAGGGGGAACCTGCCTAGGCGGCTTAGGGTTTGACTAGCTTCGTAGCCTAACAGGCGGGTAGTTTGGGCCGAGGAGGCCATCGCGCTATCGATCGGGAAGAGTTCATCGATAAGAAGAGTGGAGGAGGAGGTGCGGCAAAGCAACAGAGACGGAGGGCCGTACATGTCTGAGGAGTCTCAAGGAGTTGACGTGCCGTGCTGCAACTCGACGAGAGAGCGAGATGCTGGGAACTTGTCAGCGTATACTCTACAAAGAATGGAAGCACCCAAAATTACCGAAAGGGCAACTATGCCCAGGCATTTACAAAATAAAACAAGTATGCGAAAAGCTGGGTGAAAGGTTGGGAGAGAAGCGGTGTTACGGGTGCAATGAATTGAGGTAGCGAGGATTGCACTAAGGTGTCAAAACAAGTACAAAATGTGAGCGAAGGCATGAGCGAACATTTATACGCGAAACATGTCAAAATCAAGAGACAGGAATGAATGAACTATGAAAGAGTTGGGTACAAGTATGAACCCTAGAAGGGGCTGTACCCCATATTGGCTACCCCACTACAGCCTACACATATATAACAAGCATATACTTTGACACACCCCCATAGGCAAAGTGGGGGAGAGCAAGGGGTCACAAGACCAGTCAGGAGAAGCAAAGCAAGCTCAGGGTGGATCACAACGTCACCACACACACTGAGCACAAGCAAAGGGCCACAAGGCCAGTTCACATGCAGGGGTATATATGCAACAACAACAGCACAGTGATCTCTACCTAGCAGAGCAAGCATGCAGGTATATATAGATCACAGTACAAGCAAAGTCTATAGCAAGGGAGGAAACGTGGGCACAAGGCCTAACAGAGTGCAGAAACGCTGATGATCACCAGACGGAAGTGCCTTGGTGAATATATCAGCAGTGTTGGCCCGAGTGGCCATGTGAGCAAGACGAAGCTGACCACGCTGCTGCAACTCTCGAGCCAGGAAGTAACGCAGAGCAATGTGCTTCGTTCTGTGCTCCAGTCTATGCTCCTGACACAAGGCAATGGCGGCCTTGTTGTCGACGTACAGCACTGGAGGAGAACGAGGCCGCTCTCCCAAGTCGGTCAGCAGGTAGGTGAGCCAGCGTAACTCCTGTGCAGCCATGGCTGTGGCGTAGATCTCAGCCTCACAACTGGAGCTGAGAACTGAAGACGAGCGCGTAGAACGCCAAGAAACCGAACCAGAGCCAAGACTGAAGGTGTAACCCTGTGACGACCGCTGCGTAGCCTGGTCGTCAACCCAAGAAAAGTCTGAGTGCCCAGTGAGGACAACGTCGCTCCGTCCTCCAAGCACGAGCCCCATGCCTGATGTACTGCACAAGTAGCATAGTACCCTCTTAGCAGCATCCATGTGCACCTTTCGGTGCCGACCAGGAGCCACGTAGCGAGCCAGAAGGCCAAGAGGGTACGCAAGGTCAGGACGAGTGCAGGTCATCAGGTACATGAGGCAGCCCACTAGCTCTGGGTAAGGACCACTCGGCTCTACGGACTCGTCCGAAGGTGGAGCTGAGAGCGAGTGACCTGTAGCCAGAGGAGTGTGCTGTGCCGAGGACCAGGTGAAGCCGAAGCGCTGAAGGACCTGCTGCACCATGTGTGACTGAGTCAGTGTGATGGTGCGGCGTGCTCTGTCCCGGGTGATCCGCAAGCCAAGATAGCTTGTCAGCTCACCCAGGTCGGTGCACGTGTGTCTCTTCTGCAGCTCCGACTTCACCAGGGCGAGAGCCTCAGTGTCAGCAGTGGCAAAGACCAAGTCGTCGACGTACACGAGGATGTAGAACGGCGGCAGCGAAGTGTCGGTGCGCAGAAACAGCGACGGGTCAGCAGTCGACGGAGCAAACCCAAGAGCCGCAAGTGTCGTCCTCAGTGTGTCGTGCCACTCACGTGGCGCCTAGCGGAGACCGTAGACCGGCCGCCTGAGGCTCCACTGGGTACCAGGAGGGAACGACCCAGTGAAGCCAGGTGGGCGGCGCAGCCAGATCTCCTCGTGCAGGCTGCCCTGTAGGAAGGCTGTGCTGAAGTCAAGAGAGTGAAGCTCGTAGTCACGCTGAGCGGCAACGTGCAGCAGCACCCGAAGAGTGGTCATCTTCGGGGTGGGGGAGAAGGTCTGGAAGAAGTCTACTCCCTCTCGTTGACTGAAACCTTGTGCAACGTAACGCGCCTTGAAGGCAGGCGGAGAACCCGGCGGCCGCTTCACCCTGAAAATCCACATGCCACTGACGATGTTTGCCCCAGGTGGGGGAACCTCGTCGACGTAGGTGCCTGTGGACTTCCAGGATGCCATCTCTGCGTCCATGGCTGTCTGCCACTGAGAGGAGTACTCACCCGCGATCGCCTCAGCGTAAGAGCGCGGGGTTGGGATGTCTGGAGCATCCGGGTCTCCCTCAGGGGCAAGCAGCATGGACACGAGATGAGGCGCAGCGGCTGCAAGACACTCAAGGTCCTCCTGTCTGTCCTCAAGGACGTCCGTGCCAAGAGCACACTCACCCCCGACGGACGGAGGACAGACAGACTCAGACTCAGCAACAAGACTAGCAGCGTAGTCTAGACGACAGGCAGCAGCAAAGTCCACAAGCTCAGCAACTAAGGCAGACGTAGCAGCAGACTCAAACGACGGGTCAGTGACAACAGTGGCTAGCAGACACATGACAGTAGGGTGCTCAGCACGAAACCGGTCAGACTCGGGGTCCGCAACGACAGGCAGAGAAGACGCAGGAGGGGACGGCAGAGGAACACGCTGCGGAGGAGAGGAAGGACGACGGACTACGAGGTGGGTGTCGGGGACAGCCGGCAGACGCGGACGAGGAACACGACGACCGGAACGACCAGAACAGACAGACAAGACAGGACGCGACGCAGGCTCACGACGCTCAGTAAGACTCCCTAGCTGCTCAGTGTAAGGAGAAGGAGCAGGCAGCGGTGAGCCAGGCTGTAACGGAAGACCAGTAGACGAAGGGAGACTAAGAACCTGGCGAAGCACAGAGTCAGGCGGTGGCTGAGACGACGGAGACGGTGGAGCGAAGAACAGGCGCGGCTGTGCAGTGACACCAGCACCAGCAGCTCCAGTACCCCCAGCAGCTCCAGCACCTCCAGCGCCAGCAACCTCAGCAGCTCCAGAACCTCTAGCTCCAGCGCCACCTGCGCCAGTACCTCCAGCAGCTCCAGAACCTCCAGCGTCAGCACCCTCAGCAGCTCCAGAAACTCCAGCTCCAGCGCCACCAGCTCCAGCACCTCCAAGACCAGCTCCACCAACAGCAACACCCCCAGAACCGGCACCTCCAGTCCCAGGGTCTCCAGTCTCAGTGCCTCCAGCAGCAGCACCCTCAGGCTCAGCACCTCCAGCCCCAGCAGCTCCAGTACCTCCAGTACGAGCACCTCCGGGACCAGCACCACTCCCAGCTCCAGTGACGTCAGCAGAAGTACCTCCAGCGGCAGAGCCCCGAGCTCCAGAAGCGCGACCCTGACGGCGACCGTACCAGTCGTGCAGCTGCTGCGAGGTGAGAGGCACACGCGGACGAAGGCGGCTACTCCAAAGAAACCGCGCAACAGCAGACTCAGAACCCTCAGCGCCAGTACCCGCAGCAGCTCCAAAAACCTCCAGCGCCAGCACCCTCAGCAGCTCCAGAACCTCCAGCTCCAGCGCCACCAGCGCCAGTACCTCCAGCAGCTCCAGAACCTCCACCGCCAGCACCCTCAGCAGCTCCAGAACCTCCAGCGCCAGCGCCACCAGCGCCAGCACCTCCAGTAGCTCCAGAACCTCCAGCTCCATCACCCTCAGCAGCTCCAGAACCTCCAGTAG